AAAAAAAAAAAAAAAAAAAGAATTCCAGCCATTTGGGGATCAATCACCTGGCAGGCCTGAGTCTGAGGCCTTTGTCTGGGTTCCACTGAAATCTCAAGAGAGTTCAGACTGGAGCAGCAGCAGACTGTTGTGCCTATGTGTTTTAAGCTTGGGGGAAGGCTCAGTGCCTGTGGCTCAAGTGGCTAAGGCGCCAGCCACATACACCTGAGGTGGCGGGTTCGAATCCAGCCCAGGCCTACCAAAACAACAGTGATGGCTGCAACCAAAAAATAGCCAGCTGCTGTGGTGGGCACCTGTGGCCCCAGCTACTCAGGAGGCTGAGGCAGGAGACTCGCTTGAGCCCAGGAGTTGGAGGTTGCTGTGAGCTGTGATGCTACAGCACTCTACCTAGGGGGATAGCTTGAGGCTCTGTCTCAAAAAAATAAAAAAGATTAAAAAAAAAAAGCTGGGGGGAAAGCTGCATGATGGGGGAGGTAGTGAAAGCTGCTGGTACTTTTTATAATGATATCCTGTTCCTTTTTACATAATAAAAAAGAAAACTTGAAATATTATCTATGAAGTGAGCTTAGACTCTCGGTGAATAGTGACCCATGGATATCCCATTGTTTCCACCTTTCCTCTACCCTCAAAATATGATCATGGGGAATTTGTGCCAGGTGACCATTTTGGTAAATAAATGATATTCCTGGTAAATGGCTCCCATTATGGTCCTGTGCTGGAGGAGATAAAACTTAAAGATACTTTAGTTCCTAATCTTTAAGGTTTATAGTCTAGGAAAAGGTCATATAGCATATAGGGTATATGGTATCTGAACAATTAATCAAAAAACTATCTGGCAGTAAGAAATTACACTTACCTTAGTTTTTACTTTATTTTTTATGATAATAATCACATTTATTTATTTATTTTGTTGTTCTTTCTTTGTTTTTGAGACAAAGTTTCACTCTGTTCCTCCTGGTAGAGTGTCATGGTGTCATAGCTCACAGCAACCTCAAACTCTTGGGTTCAGGCAATCTTCCTATCTCAGCCTCCGTAGCAGCTGGGACTACAACACCTGGCTAGTTTTTCTATTTTTAGTAGAGACAGGATCTCGCTGTAGCTGAGGCTGGTCTCCAACTCCTGAGCTTAGGGGATCCACCCTTCTCAGCCTTCCCAAGTGCTAGGATTACTGGTGTGAGCTACCACTCCTAGTTAGTAATTATATTTAAATGTTAAGTAGAAAGAAGGTTTGGTTTAGAAACTCTATGCTCTTTGATCTGATGTGATGGTCTGATGCAAACTGCTTTTAGATTTACTATTAAGAAGAGCCTTGTGGCGTGGTATGGTATTTTTGTGCCCTCATTCTTGAAATTTTTGTTGCTGTTGTAATGGAAAAGAAATATTTTCTTTTTATAGTTTTTTAGATAGTGCCAGAATGAGGCTATAAAACACACTGAAGCATCGGAGACAGGTGCACATGGGTTTGTAGGACATACAACTTAATGTAGAGATAAATCAATAAAGCCAAAGGAAGGTACAAGCTACCCATATCCCCCAAATGAGCCCCCATCCCTTATATTTCGTGTACTGTCTCAGAATATCTACACAGTACCTCTGTGAAAATCCAACCCCTAAGAATTACGTTGCCTCATTCTTCCCCAGAATGGCCTGTAGATTAGAACCTACAGATTTGGGTCTTTTATGATGATGCCACATGGCATATATATAGCCTAATTTGCTGGAGAACTGTTCTGCAAAAGATTTTTAGGGTAAATAAGATTGGTGTACAATAAAAATCTCTAAAAAAAGAAAAGGTCCAGATGAGTTCAGAATGGAAGAAAATACAGCTATGCAAACAGACCAACGAAATCCTTTTACGATATAGCCAACATTGCATTTTAAAATTTATGACCATTTCCAGTGGGATAAAGACTGCTGTTTATTTTTCTTTTCATTTCTGTTTACTTTTTTTGTGTGGCCTTATTAGACTGGCCGCCTGATATCTAGTAAAAGCTATAAGGATGGAGGGAGGATGTCTTCATCCCAAGCCTGTCAAATGAGCTACATCTATTTCTCCTTCCTTTTCCTCAGGTCAGTTACCAGGAAAGGTGATTTCAATAAAACACCCTATTCCACCAGAGAGTAAGAAAGCCAGATTTCTTGGCCAGGATTTCGGATGGAAGGTGGATTAAGCAAGAAAATGTGGTCAGCACGTTCTTATGGTGAATGTGTTTACAGACCTGCTTCATTTCACAATGTGCCACAAGTTCCCAGAATGGCATACACACATAATCCAATGTAAATTCAACATTTTTATACAGATAAGTAGAAGTCATTTTTAGTGTCTAGTTTAGCGAATGGTTCGTAATCAGTCTGCTCTTTCATTCACCCACATCACTGAGAAGTAGAATAGTTTCCATCTGTCATCACACCACTCTTGATAACATCTCCATGAGATATGAAGAAAACAACTACAAAAGGAATTAGAAACCATCATTTTTTTTATGACGGAGGTGGGGGAACATATGGAAAATATGAAATACTGGATGTTTTAAAACCAATTTCTACATGGAGTGTAAGGACACCACATAGTCATACACAAATACGCTCTTCTTACTAGGTGTTGTTATAAACACTTGCCATAAAAAATCTGCAGGAGTTATATTCCAGGCTAATGGAAAGCAGAAAAAAGCAGGTGTTGCAGTTTTATTCGCAGATACAATAGGATTTAAACCAACAAAAGTAACCAAAGATAAAGATGGCCACTTTATATTTGTTAAGGGCAATACTCAGTA